AGGATAATTGTAATATTAAATGATCCTTTAAATTGTAATGGTTTGTCTGAATTAATTTAGTTGGTATCTCACTCTTGCCACGACATCAGTAACATAACATCACATGAAAGCTCTTAGAGTCTGGTCACAGATAACATCACATTTGCAATGCTAATTTTCATTAGCATGTTAATGGAAAATCCCATTATGTTAGCATAAAACTAATAAATAAATCTAATATTAATTTACCTGTTTGTCACAGTCATGTCAGAGACTATTTCAATTTTATGTGGTACAAAATGCTGTTAACATGTCTGACTGTACAGTGCCTTGCGAAAGTATTCGGCCCCCTTGAACTTTGCGACCTTTTGCCACATTTCAGGCTTCAAACATAAAGATATATAACTGTAATTTTTTGTGAAGAATCAACAACAAGTGGGACACAATCATGAAGTGGAACGAAATTTATTGGATATTTCAAACTTTTTTAACAAATAAAAAACTGAAAAATTGGGCGTGCAAAATTATTCAGCCCCTTTACTTTCAGTGCAGCAAACTCTCTCCAGAAGTTCAGTGAGGATCTCTGAATGATCCAATGTTGACCTAAATGACAAAGGATGATAAATAGAATCCACCTGTGTGTAATCAAGTCTCCGTATAAATGCACCTGCACTGTGACAGTCTCACAGGTCCGTTTAAAGCGCAGAGAGCATCATGAAGAACAAGGAACACACCAGGCAGATCTGAGATACTGTTGTGGAGAAGTTTAAAGCCGGATTTGGATACAAAAAAATTTCCGCTCCATTGTATCTTGCTGAGCTTTTATTTCCTTATAGTCCCTCTCGGTGCCTCAGATCAGCTGACCAGCTCTTGCTTGAGGTACCGTGGGCCAGGCGTAAACTCAGAGGGGACAGAGCGTTTTCCATTGTGGCTCCTAAGCTATGGAATGCGCTGCCCCTTTACATCAGGCAGGCCGCCTCGTTGGCTATTTTTAAAACTTACTTGAAGACTCACTTGTATGCTTTGGCGTTTGATATGCTATGAGACTCTGTTTGGGCTGAGTTTTGGTTGATAGTATTTTGTTATTTTGCTATGTTGGTTCTTTTATGTTATTTTATTGGTATTTTAATATTGTAGTTGTCACGTTTTTAGATGTTTTGAATTGTATCTTATGTTAAGCACTTTGTTGGCCTCGGCTGTGTTCAAGTGCTTTATACAGTGCCTTGCGAAAGTATTCGGCCCCCTTGCACTTTGCGACCTTTTGCCCCCTTTCAGGCTTCAAACATAAAGATATAAAACTGTAATTTTTTGTGAAGAATCAACAACAAGTGGGACACAATCATGAAGTGGAACGAAATTTATTGGATATTTCAAACTTTTTTAACAAATAAAAAACTGAATAATTGGGCGTGCAAAATTATTCAGCCCCTTTACTTTCAGTGCAGCAAACTCTCTCCAGAAGTTCAGTGAGGATCTCTGAATGATCCAATGTTGACCTAAATGACTAATGATGATAAATAGAATCCACCTGTGTGTAATCAAGTCTCCGTATAAATGCACCTGCACTGTGATAGTCTCAGAGGTCCGTTTAAAGCGCAGAGAGCATCATGAAGAACAAGGAACACACCAGGCAGGTCCAAGATACTGTTGTGGAGACGTTTAAAGCCGGATTTGGATACAAAAAGATTTCCCAAGCTTTCAACATCCCAAGGAGCACTGTGCAAGTGATAATATTGAAATGGAAGGAGTATCAGACCACTGCAAATCTACCAAGACCTGGCCGTCCCTCTAAACTTTCAGCTCATACAAGGAGAAGACTGATCAGAGATGCAGCCAAGAGGCCCATGATCACTCTGGATGAACTGCAGAGATCTACAGCTGAGGTGGGAGACTCTGTCCATAGGACAACAATCAGTCGTATACTGCACAAATCTGGCCTTTATGGAAGAGTGGCAAGAAGAAAGCCATTTCTTAAAGATATCCATAAAAAGTGTTGTTTAAAGTTTGCCACAAGCCACCTGGGAGACGCACCAAACATGTGGACGAAGGTGCTCTGGTCAGATGAAACCAAAATTGAACTTTTTGGCAACAATGCAAAACGTTATGTTTGGCGTAAAAGCAGCACAGCTCATCACCCTGAACACACCATCCCCACTGTCAACCATGGTGGTGGCAGCATCATGGTTTGGGCCTGCTTTTCTTCAGCAGGGACAGGGAAGATGGTTAAACTTGATGGGAAGATGGATGGAGCCAAATACAGGACCGTTCTGGAAGGAAACCTGATGGAGTCTGCAACAGACCTGAGACTGGGACGGAGATTTGTCTTCCAACAAGGCAATGATCCAAAACATAAAGCAAAATCTACAATGGAATGGTTCACAAATAAACATATCCAGGTGTTAGAATGGCCAAGTCAAAGTCCAGACCTGAATCCAATCGAGAATCTGTGGAAAGAACTGAAAACTGCTGTTCACAAACGCTCTCCATCCGACCTCACTGAGCTCGAGCTGTTTTGCAAGGAGGAATGGGCAAAAATTTCAGTCTCTCGATGTGCAAAACTGATAGAGACATATCCCAAGCGACTTACAGCTGTAATCGCAGCAAAAGGTGGCGCTACAAAGTATTAACTTAAGGGGGCTGAATAATTTTGCACGCCCAATTTTTCAGTTTTTTATTTGTCAAAAAAGTTTGAAATATCCAATAAATTTCGTTCCACTTCATGATTGTGTCCCACTTGTTGTTGATTCTTTACAAAAAATTACAGTTTTATATCTTTATGTTTGAAGCCTGAAATGTGGCAAAAGGTCACAAAGTTCAAGGGGGCCGAATACTTTCGCAAGGCACTGTATATTTTCTGTGTTTGTCAGTTTTACACTATTTTCAAGCAACAAGTAAACTGCCGGAACCAGAAACCTAGTCTCTTATTGGAGGAACTGTTTACCTATCTGTCAAACTAAATGGTAGGCTCATCAGAGCAGCATGGAAGAAGCAGCTAGTTTCTAAGTCATGGAGAGAAGCAGGAGGGATTTTTACTCCCAAGGAGGGCAGTTTAGGCCTTTTTGCCTTCTGAATGTAGAAGGCAAGGTTTTCGTCAGTGTAGTTGCCCAAAGTTGGCCGAGCTACATAGAAAGGAATAAGCTCATTGGAACAAGCATAACTCAGTGCAGAAAACTGGAATACCAGGTTTTTCTGGATGCCTGGAGCACACAAGCATGATCTGACATCACATTCACTCAGCAAAGAGAGAAAAAATGTGGTGGTTCTGCCTTTGGTTCTATACCACATAGCCTACTGAGGGAAGCACTAGCTTTTTTTTTAAAGTACCAGACTTACAGTGCCTTGCGAAAGTATTCGCAAGTATATTTTATATCTATCAGGTTAACTACCTAAGCCTTTTGGGTGGACGAAGTCCTGGGGACTGTGCGCAGAATAATATGCAAAATTGGCACCAATGCCCTTTGGGCAGCCTATAGCCTGAAAGGCCAAAAAGGGAAGAAAAGGTTTGAAGACCTGCTTTTATATGAAGTCATAAAGGGTAAGTGCACAAGTGAAAATGTTATTTAAGTATTACATAGCCTCAAATATTATTTCTTAAAAAAGCATTACAACACATCACATAACATGGGCATAATAACTATTTTCTCTTTCTCTATTCTTCTAAGATGCATGTTGCAGAATACATCCGGCAGTGGCCCAGCAGGTCTTTGAACACTTTGTTGCAGAGACTTTAAAGTATGCACCCCACAGGGGAATTCAGGTTAGTAATTATCGATTTGTTAAATTCATCAAAACAGTTTATTTATTTTCAGTTTACTTAATGCACTTTTTTTTTGTAGGTGGTTAGTGCACTTCCGCAATCTGAGGACAGACATTGAAGTGGTGAAGCTGTGCGGAAGGATGTTGGATTGTTAACTGACTGTTTTATCAGAAAAGTATACGGTTTCTTCATTTAAATTGTACAGTGTAAAATAATTTTCTGTTATCCAAAACAAAGTTGCAGAGTTTGTTTAAACTTGTTAACCTTCATAATAAATGTTTTAAAATGAATGGAAATGTTATTGTCACAAAGAACACGTGCATATTTTTATGTTGTATTAATGTTAGGCTGGTGGTGTTGTAAAAACACTAAAATCTTTTCACACCCTCAGAATTTCCGGATTTTAAAAAGATAAATTGACAACTGGAGAAATTAAAAGTTATGTTTTGACAGGGGGGGCAAACACTTATTCACACAGGGCTTTGTAGTTTTGGATTTTGTTTTCCCTTAATAATAAAAACCTTCATTTAAAAACTGCATGATGTGTTTACTTGTGTTATCGTTGACTAATATTTAAATTTGTTTGATGATCTGAAACATTACAGTGTGAAAAACATGCAAAAAGATAAGAAATCAGTAAGGGGGCAAATACTTTTTCACACCACTGTAACTACACACACATTCACATTCACTCCTACAAGCAATTTAGAGTCACCAATCAACCTAAGCTTAAATTTATTTTATTTAATTTAAATAAATTTAATTAGCTTTCATTTTAAGTTTTTCCTCCCCGCTGTCGCCAAGTGCTGCCAATATTAATCTTACATATAACACTGAGTTTCAACCTTTCGAAGCATTTTGTTTGTTTCAGTTTCGAATTATGGCATCATATTTGCACCACAGGTGACCTGTTAACTTTCGCCTTAACCTCCGAATCCGAAGCTGTGAATCGGAAGCCAGCGTCCCGGTATTAAGCGGAGTGGGCCAGCCTGGCGACACAAACGCAAGCCAACATGTGCATTTAGTACAAGTGAAGCAGCACCAACCTCTCTTGAGTCCGCGCTCGAGCCTTTAAAAAAGCCATGACCGCACGACACCTCGTTACAGTGAACACTGACCGGCCATTGTCACATATCGGTAAACACGGAAACGAGACGGAACCCACGTGACTCAAAGAAGGAAAAACACAGAGAGGGCTCACTCTGCTCTGTTACAGAATACCATCACTACTTAGCAAAACTTAGTGGAGATTTATGTTCATTTTAAAATAAAGATAAAAAATAAGTCATAACAAAGAATAGCTATAGTGAGTCAAGTGAGATTAAAAGTCAAATATGAGGAAAAAAAATCAAAATTCTGAGATGAAAAGTTAGAATGGGGAGATGGGAAATTTAAAATTAAACTAAATAAAAATTGAAACTTAAGCTACAGTTTGTAAAATTTTAACCCAGTGTCTAATTTCCACCATATCTATCTATTGCTGACAGGATACCTCAGTGGGTAGCACCACTTTGGTACAGAAGGTCAGGGGTTCAAACCCCGGTCAGGGCATGGTCAATATCTTGCCTGGGTCTTTAGGCAAGGCCCCTTAATGCTACCTGCCTACCTCATGGGTTAATGAGAGTTGGAAAAATAAGAGTCACACCGGCTCAGATGTCACCCGGGTCAACAAGGTCCGCGTCGGGTGTTGAGGAACCAGGGCAACCTGATGAGAAGTGAGCTACTGGAACAAGACATTCATAGACAAGAGAGGAGAACAGGGAATGGATTGGAACACATGCATTGGAATGCTACTATACAAGTAACCCCAGCGAGAGGGGTTACATATGGAGGATGTGGGACCTATGGATACTTCGAAACCCAACATCTACACTAACATTGAAACAATTAGTAACTCAGTGCTCTAACATCCACAGGTGACTCAATCGTGGTGTACTGGAGAAGTGCCATGATATAGTGACACACACTGGTCTACCCCTCACCTAAACATCAAAAAAGTCAAATTAAAGTGCATAAAATTAGAAAGGATAGACTAAAACTATTAAGAAAAAATTCAGCTGAGCGAACAAGGTGTATTTTTTGTTATAGGAGAATGTGAAGAAAAGCAGTTTATCCAAGCAAAGTCGAGGCAGAAGGCCGCCCACCAAGAGCCGGGGTCTGTCAGCGGTTTCTTTTGTTAAAGGGAGTTTTTCCTTCCCACTGTCGCCAAGTGCTTGCTCAAGGGGGATTTGTTGGGTTTTCCCTATGTAATAATATTGATAACAGTAAGGTCTAGACCTTACTTTGTAAAGTGTCCTGAGATGACTTTTGTTGTGATTTGGCGCTATACAAATAAAATTTGATTTGATTTGATTTGATTTATTGTCATGATATCAGTTCAAATTTAAAAGGTATTTTAGTTTGACGTGTAATTTAAACTTGTGACATCATGAACCTGATGCAACTGAGCAAACAGCAAGAAGCACCTGCTATCACAACTAGAGATTGACGAGGTACAACACGAATGCTCCAGCAAGGGAGAGCCAGGATGAGAGGTCAGGGGGGAGATATCATCATCACCACCCCCACAATTGGAGATTGGGTACCAAGCCCCAATAACAGGCCTGGATGAGCTTGATTCAAGGGCTGCTGGCCTGAGATTGAAGATCATGAGCAAGATGGACACCTGGAAGTCCCGTGGTCGGTTACCAAGACTAAGTGAAGTCTGAAAGTCTACTAGAGGATGTGAATGCAACACTAACAACAATCCCTACTGCGACCATCACTGAGACCAACAAGCTGATATACACCACAGCAACCGTGATCCTTCAGATGCTTGGCTATAAGTTCAACAAAGGCCATAAGGAGCAGTATTCTCCATGGAGAAGGAGGTTGGAGACCAAGATCAAGGCAGCAAGGAGAGACGTTAGCCAGCTATAGGAATTGCAGAAAGGGGTGCCTAAGAAGTACAACTCACCTGAGGCCTTGGAGACTGCCAAGCAAAGGCTCACTGCCCTGTCCACCTGGCTGAAGAGGTACACCAGAAAAGTTGAAGCCAGGAGAATAAACTGAACATTCTCCACTGAGCCATCCAAGGTGTATTCATGAGAGAGACCCACCAAGGCTGGAGAAAGAACAGTTCTGGAAGAGCATATGGGAGAAGGAGGCATCACATAACAACAATACCCAGTGGCTGGGCAGACCACAGCAACCTCCCTGCACAAGACACAGTAATCATCACAATGGCAGACATTCAAGAGAGGCTCTCAAGTATGAAGAGCTGGACAGCACCAGGCCCTGACATGATCCACACCTACTGGTTAAAGAAGCTAACTTCCCTCCATGAGCACCTGGCGGGACAAATGAACCAGCTACTAATGAATGGAATCCACCCTGAGTGGTTAACTGAAGGCCAGACAGTCCTGATCCTGAAGGGCCTTCAGAAGGGAGCAGTACCATCCAACTACCGCCCAATAACCTGCCTCTGCATAACATGGAAGCTCCTGCCTGTCAGGCATCAAGCTAGGATGAGCAGGCACATGGCTCAGTACATGAGCAGCACCCAGAAAGGAATTGGTAGTAACACCAGAGGAGCAAAGCACCAACTACTGGTTGACAAAGTAGTCACTCGAGACTGCAAGACCAGGCATACCAACCTGTGCACTGCCTGGATTGACTACAAGAAAGCCTATGACTCAATGCCTCACACATGGATCCTGGAACTATACAACATCAACTTCTTGTACAGATGCCCTGTACAAGAAGGGCCAGAGCCGCCTCCACTTGTTGAGGAGACTGAGGTCCTTTGGTGTGCGTGGGGCACTCCTTTGGACATTTTATGATTCTGTGTTGGCATCTGCGGTTTTTCACAGTGTTGTGGGTTGGGCAGGAGGTAGCACGGTCAGGAACAGAAAGAGACTCAACAAGCTGGTTAAGAGAGCTGGTTCTGTCCTGGACTGCTCTCTGGATTTTATCAAGGAGGTGGCGGACAGAAGGATGATGGCAAAACTAAAACCCATCATGCATAATCCCTCCCATCCCCTGCACCACACAGTGGTGGCTCTGAACAGTTTTTTTAGCATGAGATTGATACATCCCCAGTGTAAGAAGGAACGTCACCGCAGGTCATTCCTCCCCACAGCCATCAGACTGTACAACACATCACTGCAGTGATAAGCTAGGTGAAAGTATGAGGGACTATGCAATAGTCGACTGAGGTGCAATATTCAGCTCCTGGGGGTGAAATGCATTGTAAATAGGCTCATGTGTAATATCTTGTTCCTGATCTCTCTCAAATACTGTACGTTGCCCTGCTTTAGGTATTTTTGAGTAGTTCCTCAGAGATCCTTATGGCTGAAACACAGGTTTCTTTCCCCTATTGTGGGATTAATTGTGAGAGTAATATTTGATTGTTCTTGATTTCCTGGTTGTTTTCTTGATTCCTCTCAATACTATTCTTTTTTGTCAAATTTCCTAGGTATCTTTTTTGACTTGTGTCTCAGGGACAAACTGTGGGAGGTCTATTCTTGTTCCTGATTGTCTCTGAAATATTATATTTTTGTTTGTTTTTTTTTGGGTACCTGGATCTTGTTTTCTCAAGATATGTGTGGGGTGTTTATTCTTATGGTGTCATGTTGTTTTGTCCTTTACTGCTGCTGGAACACTGGAATTTCCCCACTGTGGGACCAATAAAGGTCTACCTACCTACCTACTAAAACTATAATAATTAAATACAAAAAAACCAGGCTGTGTCACAACATAACAGCCTACTAGGTGCAAATTCAGTGTAACATTATGCTAGCCACAGAAAAAAGGTGTTAAAAGTATTTCAAGTCACAGCAGGGCAAAGCTAGTCAGAAATCAGAAGCTAAACAGGCCACGCTGGATCCAGTTATAAAGCCTACAGCTGTTAATGAAAAGGTTAGTACAAGCCAGTCTGATGCTCAGGTCATGAATTTCAAATGGACATAGGACTGAAGCAAAGCAAGGAATAACATGAAAGAAGACCCCTGCCCCATGACTGTGTTATGGGTTGTTTTAAATAACAGAAGGTAAGAGCATGTTTAACATTACTGTGTTATATAGGCCTTATTTCTCAGGTGTGCTTTAAATTTGTTGCTGTAATATTCTGAATATAATGTTAGTGTGTCATAAGGCCCCAAATATGATGTTACGCATGCCATTGATTGACCTGATTAGAGGCCATAGCTTGGCAGTCCTATGTATTTAGCATCATTCGTGCTTGAAATTTATAACTCGCACTTGCAAATGGTGTCTTATGTGATGTTTGTTTGTTTTGTTTCTATAAACACCCAACAAATAATGTTTTGCCTCTAAGCTGCTCTCTTAATGTGGAAACTACTACAAATGCAACAAACATTGAGGAAATGTTTTCATTCCAGGGTGTGTTGTCTGTCCTGGTGCAGCACCACCATCCAGTTGCTGCCTGGCATTTGCACCCTGTACACCATCTCAGACATCCAGACCATGACCTTGCCGGGGCCCTGCCAGTGGCTGCAGAGCTCCTTTCTTGTGAACAGTACAGTACACCCACATCTTTCTCCCTGGCAGAACCCACTGAAAACTGGAGACTGCCATGGTCACTGTGTATCTCAGCGATGAGTAGATAAAGAAGAGAGAAAAGAAAAGGAGCAAAACACAACAAAAACAGCCAAACACTGGTCAGGCTGATGTGGCCGGTGACTGCTCAGGGTCACCTGATCCATAAGCTTTATCAAAAAGGAAAG